ATTTGCAGCTACAGCAGAAAATTAATCCGTTTATAGCCAAACAGTATGCGCTGCGCCTGGAGCTGGATCGGCACAAAGGCCTCTTGGTAGCTGCCCAAACGGAGGTGGATCGGTTGACCCAACTGCACGCAGAGACGCAGGCAGGCGAAATGAGAGCCAGAGAACTGCAGATTTGGACAATGCAAAGCTCTTCGATGTCAAGCTGCAACTCGACGATTCCCTCACGCTGCAGAGCCTCTGCGCCCGCACCCCAACTGTGGACATTTCCACCACCCAACAGAGTGTGCCCAGCGGACTCAAGCGGAATGCCGTTCAAAATATGGCGTTTATCAAGCTGCATGAAAAGCAGGGCGCCAGTAGTGATGCCATGCCCACCCATTCCAACAAGAAACATTTTTGCTGAATTTGCAATTATTTTTGATTTTGGCTTAGATTAAATCAGCCAACCATTGGCTGATCAGAGATCAATGTCTTTTCTTGTATTGAGTGCAGCTCAGTCTTCAGTCGAGAGGTATAGCAGGCCGGCTACTAGGCGCAGTCCGATATATCGTGGGGCCACGCTTAAGTAAGCTTTTCGGCTACGAGTATGCACCATTATCTCAAGGATTATCGGAGTATTAGCCAACCATTCCCTATTCCCTAGCAGCTATGTGATGTTTGAAGTTGTGAGGGATTCTTGTGACTTTTTTTTTCATTTACAACCGTCTGTCATCTGGCAGTATGCCTCAGCAACGGAAACTTACCAGAGCTTTCTTTATTTTTTTCTTTTGGCTGTGCAGGCGGCTTAAGTGATCTGAAATATGTATATCGGGGCGTGGGAGAAGCTGAGGACAGTCGTGGCAGGTCGAGGCTGAATTATTTAAAGTTTATAATTGAAGTTGAAACAACAGACAGCGGACAGTGGACAGTGGAAAGCGGACAGCGGACAGTGGAGATGCGGACAGCGGACAGTAAGCTGCAAGTTTTCACTGTAAGATGCAGATGGAGGGTTGCATAGCAAAGGGAGCCTTGGTGTGGGAGTGGGCTGGAATGGACTGGGCTGGGCTTTAGCTGAATGAAGAAGCGCTCACTAAGTGCAAAGACACACACACACACGCACACTTATATACATACATATGTACATGCATAAATTGTTAATTCTGTGCACAAGTTTAATGAGTCGTGGGCATGATGCTAGCAATCAATACTGTAGGCCTACACATATCGGGGAGGCACAGGCGAGGGTACTGACAACTTGCACAATGGCCCTTGACATTTATCAAGAATGCTCGATATGGCCCGAGCCTCGACAAGTTGAGCAGCCAACGGAGGAGACTGAGGGACTGAGAGAGCTGGAGGTGTACTCAGCCTCAAAGTAAAAAATGAAGAATGAAGAATGCAGAATGGTGAATGGAAAAAGGAGATGGGAAATTAAATGTGAAAATAACATTGCTAATTCATAAATACTCGTATTATATTCTGTGTGTAAGCCACTCACTTTACTTGGCCGCCTTTTTCTTCGTCAGTGTGTCACGGCAGCTGGTGCATCACTGTACGAGTGGATATGCTGTATAGTAGCTGTACAGCTGTGTGTGTGTGACACTTGCCACAATGTTTGGGGTAAGAAGATGAGAAATGACACGAAGAAGCATCAATGGGGGAAGGAGGAAGCGAAAAATGTTCTAAAGGTGTCCTCCCATGGTGAAGTGTGTGAGTGGGCGGAGGGGAGGTGACAAGCAAAGTTTCGAGCTGTGGCAGGACCATAAAATATTCCAATATATCAAAAGGATTGCTAATGCAGAGCACCCCCCATCCACTCCACTCACTTTATTCCGCATTTACTGTATCGTGTTGCCCCTTCTAACTGTGTGCGTGGATCTCCTACGTATTTGATTTTTAAAACCGCTGAGGCTGATCTGAGGCGGATTGCATACTTGCATATTTATATGGCTCGGATAGGAACGAGATACTCATGATTTGCGCACGATTCACTCGCACACAGGTGGAGCCACAGCCGAGCAACAAACAAAAAGATAACCAATAAATTTCAGGAAAATGAAAATATAATAGCCCGTTAAGGGAACCAATTTCGAATGGGTTGAATGCATTCACAAAATGTGCCGTGGATCAGCGTTGACAGCGGGTGAATGATTTTTGGCTTTTTGGCTTTTTAGCTGATGTTGCTCAAGTTGCTGCTAATTTAATTGCTGTTCCTCAGGAAGATTCTGATATAGTTAAATGCACATATAAATATATATATATATATGTATATATCTGTTTTCCCGACCTCTTCAGCAGCAAGAAATTCGCGATCTAAAACCCAATAAATATTGGGTAGTTTTAAATATTTTTGTAAATTAACACAAAACATTGTTAATTAAATGTTTATTTAGCATATGATCTCGCGGCAGACTATTAAAATATAAGAATAAGTAACTTTAATGGCACGGTTCGATCTTGTCTGATTTCTGCTAATACCACTAATGTTAAGGCGGACTGCTTACTGCCTCTCTGCTGTTACTTTTTGTCTGCTGCTGATCTGCTGCTAGTCTCGTTCTGCTTTTACTTCTGTTAAAGCTTCGCTGCTGTTACTGCTTGGCTGCTGTTGCTGCTTGCCTGCTCTGGTGCTGCTGTTACTTCTGTTACTGCTTCTTTGCTGTTTTACTGTCACTGCTTGTCTGCTGTTGATCAGTTGCTCCGTCGTTAATCACACAGTGCGAATGGGTTCCATTCGCCTCATTCGAAGCCAATGACTCTATTCGTTTATTGGAAATGTAAACTGAAAATCATAGCCTAGCTTTAATGCAGGAAGTCCGTTCCTACGAGTACTTAATATTCCTACTACTAATTTTTGCATCAAGCAGTGCTTCCATTGGTTCCATTGTTTTCGCCACCCTGCCACCCCTTTTTTCCGCCCTGTTGCAATTTCACGGACAATGAGCGCATTTGTAAGTCAATTATGTTGCACACAGTTTTGATGCATTTTCAATAGTGCCCACAAGAGTTTTCGATGATTTGAATATAAACCCGAGACAAAAGAACAGCCAAAACAGCAATCGAGGAAAACATGTTATTAAGTGTTCCTCCGAAGGCTCGATTCAAATTGCATATTAAGAATTTGTGGGTCCACTTATTACCCTTCAGAGCTGCCACAAGCAGCCAAACGGCCACATATCCATCATAATCCCATAATTACAGTCATAAACGTATCCCTGCCTCCCATTTTGCTTCAATAGCACAAAGCGATGATTGATATAAAAACAAAAATTAATCGACTGATAAGTGACTCATCCTGGCTACACGCAGATCCACGCCACGCCACGCCACTCCCCACGCTTGGGCCCTCCCCGCTTTTGGTGTTTATATTTGCGTCTCTTAAATCTCTTTATTTTTAGACCCTGCCCTTGCCACGGCTTCCTCTGCCAGGGCTTTCATGCCAGGCTATGGCATTTTTTGTGAGCCTCAATGAGGAGATGAAAGTGCGCCCCGCCCTGCCCGCATCCAGCAGACAGAGAAAAAAGTTTGCTGCTTTTTTCTTTCTTTGTTTTTTAATTTTTCAATTAAATGTTAATTAAGTTAATGAAATGCCTGCTCTGCCATGCTCTGCTCGCCTCTGCTGCCCCCGTCTCTTACGCAATGTTGACTCATTCGCCAAATGAGGGCAGGGAGTGAGGGGGAAAAGGGAATAGGATGGGACAAAAAAAATTGGCTCCTCTAATTGGTGGATCTGCCGTCTGCCTAAAATTCGGATCTTTCAATGGCAAGTCGGCAAGAAACATATACAAATCCTACGGCAACAGTGCAGCTTATTCACCAACTAGCGCGACGACCATGTGCCAGTTTACTGGCAGCATTACCCCATGGCCGCAGGAATTGGCCCTCAATGGTGGCAAAATTCTAGGGACTGCAACATTGACAATGCTATAGAAAACTCCCAAAAGGGATGACATTGGCGATGCCATGGAAAACCCCTAACTATTTGTGATTCTCTGCACTCTGCAAGGAGTCACACAATGCCGAAAGATTGTTGGGTAGAGCCAAAAGCTTGGATTAAACCTCTCAGGCATTTTCTAGCTCATTTAAATTTCTGTTTGATTCGATGCCGAGACGCCAGTCTGGCCACAGCCTTCGGCATTTTGTGGATTTTCTGCTTTATGAGTACACATTTTTGCATAAATATTTACGAGTACCGAGAACCTGTATGAACCACATATGTATGTATGTATGCGCCATGTGCTTTATTCTTATGCTACAGCCTCTGCTCCTAATTAGTTAATGTCGAAGCGGCAATGCCTGTCACTCCATTCCCAAAAGAGAGAGAGAGAGAGGATAAGCAGCAGGAAGGGGCTGGGCACGAGGCAGCCAGGCAGCGAGGTAGCCAGGCAGAGAGGCACAAATGAGTACCCAACATTTCTGTCATGCTGCTGGTTTTTGGTCTCAGCACGCGGCTGCTACAAAGAACATTTTTTGAATCTCTCTCTTGAGGCACGGCAGGAAGGAAGGTTGTCGTATGGTGCCATGACTTCGCTTTGTGGCATCTGTTACCCCGCACCCCAACACCCCACCACCACTCCTCCAGAGCAGAGCTCCTCCGCTGGTACTCCTGCTCGCCTGCTGTAATGAAATATATGGGGACAGGCTTCAAAGCAGATTTTACATCTACCCAGCTCCCTCCCAGCCCCACCATCTCATTCCCTGAGCAAATGTGCGCGTGTGTTTCGTTGTATGTATTTTTAATGTCGTAGAATCCCAAACACCGAGAAGCACCGAACAGCCCCATCCTACACAGCCCAAAACACAGCCCAAAACACTCACTCACTCACTCCACTCACTCCACGTGAGCGGGAGACAGGGAGAGAGGGAGAGAGAGTGGGATTCAGAGGCATTAAAAATGTAAACGCTTTACGGGGGGGGCCACCAGGCGTATGCTTAGTGCATAACGTATACGCACGGTGGCCGCATACAAATAAACCGTCACTCAACCACCTCCCCTCACTCTCTATTATTTTCTGTGCTTACAGGTGAACGTGAGCAACACTTGGACCATGCCGCAGGAGGGTCTGAATGTCTTCTATCGCTTCTTCCGCGATCGCATCTCCTGGTTCGAGGCAGATGCCGTCTGCCAGTTTCATCATGCCAATCTGGTGACAGGTAAGCGACAGCTGACGATTAACACGGTGGGTTGGGGTGGTTGGGGGTGTTGGGGGCTGGGGCCAGAAGCTAATGAAAGCCAAACATCAAGTCCAACAGCTAAGACTAGAATCCTGTTGAGGAATTCCCAACGCCAACCGCCAAAGCCAACAAAATGTGGAATGCAAATAAGCCCAGTGACAGCAACGAGCATGGAACGAGGGTGCAAAGAAGGTGAAAACGGGCAGGAAAAAGAGGTTAAAGCAGGGGTGGGGGTGGGGGAGGGGGATTGCACATTATTACAAATGTCCGGCAGCTGTTGTGACAGCGGACTCAGGGAAAGGAGAGAGAGAGAATGAGAACTGGGCTGCTGCTTGGGCTGCTGCTTGGGCTGCTGCTGCTGTTGGCTGTGTTACCTAGCGCCCCAAATGAATGCAGTTAGCAGGAAAGGAGAAACCTGGCCAAGGCTCCAAGGAGGCAAGCAGAGGAGATGCCGTTAGATGGGGCAAAGAGTGGCCTCTGGCTGACAAACGAAGGCCGAAAGGGGTGAGGTTGCTGGGCTACTGGGCTGCTGGGCTGCCATTGTGGCTCACAAATGAATGAAATGACAGCAAAGTGACGCAGCCACAGTCGAGTCGAGTCGAGTCTTTTATGTGGCCAGGCGCCCCCAAAAGCTTTTCCAGGGCGTCCCCCCCCAATCCCCCCCTTCTGTTGCTACCGCTCCCCTTCGGGCCATCTCATTTACCGCATTGCTTTCGGTTTGCATTTGCTATGTAAATACCCACCCCTCCGATCCCATGCCCTGCCATGCCATGCCGCATAACACAATAAATCCCACTGACAAATGCTGTCGCTGCAGTGCCAAGGGGAGAACAGAACAGAGGCAGTGGCGGGTATGGGGCAGATTGGGGTCAGATGAAGATAGCCAAAACAGCTCTCAGTGCAGCTAAATCAGTATGACACTAGCGCTCAAATGGCTCATCGACCGCTTGGATAATGCCACAAAATGTTGCCGGCAAATTGGTTGGAGACACACACACAGCAAGCCAGCCAGCAGCCCCATTCAGGCGCGTGGCGCAGCGGACACAGACATGGCAAAGAGCTTTGAATGGTGCGAAGCTTCTGTCCATTTCGAGCAGATCATCTTCGGCAGCTTCTTCTTATCTGCCAAATATTTCGATTCATCAGAGGACTCTACAGCTTGCCCCTTCCCGCTGTCCTCGCTGCCCTTGCAAAGGAACCAAACTTCTGTGTGATAGGGTCAAAAGTTCAGGGATCAATTGGACATGGGACGGCACAGCCCTACATGGCCTCGATGCAGCGTCGATTCGTGTGCTCATTGCTTTGGCAAGCGAATGGTCAAAGCTGACAAAAACTAGAGCCTGGGCCTAGAATAATTGTTGGCAAGGCAGGCATGTAAATTTCCGTGGGTGGGGGGGTATGGGGGGTTGAATAAACACTCGTAAAACAAAAGCTAAATAACAATGGCAAACAGAAACGAAAACCAACACAAACGACAGACAGACAGACAGACAACAGCAATGCTCAAATAGAAACAAAAATAATTTGCAACAGCGTTTTGTTAACAATTTCTGCTGTCACTCGAGGGATGGCTGGCTCCTGGCTCTACCCAAAAATATATACGAGTATATATGTAGATATATAAAAAAATCAAGCCAAGCAAAACAAATCAACTCCAACAACACAACACAACAGACGAAGCGAATTAAATACAGAAATACTCTTGTGTAGAACAAATAAAAACCATTTGTCGTCTTGTTTTCAATTCAACTCTATTCATTCTCCCCCCTCACTCTCTCTCTCTCTCTCTCTCTCTGTCTATCACTCCCTTTATATTTTCCCCCTCTTTGTGTCTGCTGATACAATGTTTTTTCCATGTGTGTGGAACAACAGTCGACAACAGTTTTCAATTCGATGCAACGCGCGACCTACTGAGGGAATTGGATGTGAACGACATCGTTTGGATTGGTCTCATGCGACCGCAGAATTCGGATCGTTTTATGTGGTCGTAAGTACCTACACACCAACACACCAACACCTGCAGTTACACCTACACCCAAGCAACACAACACGGAAAACGTAACGCCGAAAAGAGCTTCCGGAACAGACACAGACACTGACAGGGATTGTGTACAAAAAAAGGGTCCTATTAGGGCACGACTTTAGCCGGCTGGGCTGGGCTGGATCTATGATTCTGTGTGGAGCCCTGAGCTCCCGGTACCACAATTCCATTAAAGTTGCAGAGGTTTAAGTTGGGGGAATATGCTACGGAAAAAATGAAGATAGTTCTGGCGTAACAAACCAAATGAGCAGAGAAAAAATGCAAGCAAACGACTTTCAGACAGTCGGGAAAATCAATTTATATAGAAGAAAAAATACAGATATGCAGATAATACCATGTAAATAAGAAGGATATTTCCACTCAATTTGTTGTGGGGTAAATGCTTTAGTTGATGCAGCTTACAGCTTAAGCAGAGTCGAAATTGAAACAGAAAAAACACAATAATAATTATTATTTAATTTAAAACTAATTTAATTTAGCAGGGGAGTCAATGCATATGGTCTAGAATAGGGTAGGTAGGGGGTAGGTGTTGTAGAAGTGTGGATCAGTTGATGGGATCCAATTCCAGCGACGAGTTCATGCAGGTTACTCCGATTGAAGCAGTCCAGCAGAAGTTGCATAAGTTGGGCGTAGCATCGGTATATGTATAGTCTGTATACATAGGTACCCGCTTGCATCGAGTGGTAACGGCGCTGCTGCCCTGAACATACTCGTAGAAGGTGTACGATATGTGTATGTAGAGTATGTCAGTTAAAGCAGAAATATAAAATGGTTATGATAATGGAAAATAGTTCAAAAATAGTGCAGTCCTGCATGCAGTACTTAAGTCGAGTAAATTTAGCACAAATGAATGACAAATCATTCGATGAAAGTCCAAGGCGATTTCTCCACTTCTCAATTTTAATTGCTCTGCTTGTGCTTTTCGTTTGGGGGGATATACAGAAACTCGCGTCCCCTGGTGGCCGACACTGGCTACTGGGCCGAGTCGCTGCCACTGATGGATGCCCCGCTCTGTGCCGTTATTGATCCCATACGCGATTACCGCTGGCACGCACTGCGCTGCGGTGGCCCCGAAACGGCCTCCTTTCTGTGCGAGATGCCAGGTAAGTGCAACAGAGAGAGAGAAAGGAGAGAGAGAGAGAGGGGAGTAAAGCTAACACAAATTGTTTTGATTTGATTGATTTAACTAGTGCCCAGCTGGGCGGATGCCTGCATACTGAAGGACATGCCCAACCTGACCATGCAGTACATGGCGGACACGGCCAGCATCGAGCTCATCCGCAACTGCCAGGAGGAGGGCTTGCTGCGGCACACCTGCAAGGGCAAGGAGGTGAGTTCGCGTCCCCCGTGCAACATTTTCTGCCTCTCACTTTGCAGCGCGCTTGTGCCGGAGACTTTTCCTTGATTGTCTGCTCTGCTCCGCTCTGATCTTTGCAGGATCGCGATCGGGCCGTGCGCAAGCTGATCTGCCCCGAAGGAGCGACTGGAGGCGCAGCGCATCAACGACATAACCAACTCTCACTTCAAGTCGCTGCAGATCATCAACAACATCCGGACGGACAACAACGAGAACAACGACATCGATCTGCTACCCAACTACAACGGACGCAGGGGCATGGCCATCAACATTGAGGTGGCGCCACCGCCGGTGCCCACGCTGCCCCCGTTTCCACTGAACGAGCGGTTCGGCCTGGCCGAGTTCATGCAGGCCGATGCCCCCGGCTCTGTATCGCTCTCCGGGCTCTACCGCATACCAGACGAAATCCCCAAGCCGGTGAAGAAATCCCCCAAAAAGGCCAACGCCCCGGACTTTGTTGTAAAGGTCCACCAGCAGCAACAGCAGCAGAAGCAGAAGCCGACGACCAGCAAGCGGCTGCTGGAGGAGATGATGATGGGCGACCAGCCGGCCCTCAGCGAGGAGCAGCTGCCACCGAACGTGGCCGAGGCAAGGGATGACAGCAACAGTGATGCCTCCAACGAGATATTTGAGCACTTGCCCCACAAGAAGAAGATCCTGCCGCAGGACCTGCGGACCATGCCGCCCATTGTCGAAGTGGCAGCAACAGAAGCAGCAAAAACCCCTGAGGCTGCAACATCAAAGAGCACCATCACCACCATCACTCCGGCCCCTAAAACAACTCCCACACCTGGAACAACAGCAACAACAACAACCACTGAAATTCCAACAACAACTGCAAAAACAACTAAAGTGCCAACAAGCTGGGGAACAACAACCAGAGCAGCAGAAGCGACAACGGACCACAGCCCATCATCATCATCGATGGGAACGATGTTGCCTCTGCCCAGCAGCAACAACCCGGGCCATCACATGCACCCAGTGCAACAGCAACAGCCACAGCAGCAGCCGCCGCCGCTGCATGCCACGCATGTGAGGGAGTCCGCGGACAACTCGCATTTCATTCCACCTATGCTGTTGGTGAAGTCGCACTATGTGCCGCCAGCAAGGCATGGAAGCCAGGAGCAGCATGTCGATCACAGCGAACATAAACCAGCACATGCAACCACAACAGCAACAGCAACATCCACAAAAGCAACAACAGCAGCACCGAGAACAAAATCATTCGTAAAGGAGGAGCAGCAGGCGGAGAAGGAACAAGCGACAACAATCATGTCATTAACGGGGCTGACAGCAGCAACAGCAGACACAAGCACAGACACAGACACAGTGGCAACATCTACAGTGGCAGCAATGCCAGCAGGCACACCAAAAAGTATGCAGCTGACAACGGCAACCAAGTCACAAAGTGTGGCTGTGGAGGCGGCAGCTGGGACAGGCGTGAAAGTAGCTAAAGACAGCGACACCACCAAACAGAAGTTCGTTGCAATACCAACAACAGCAGCAGTCCCAGCAACAACAGCAGCAACAGCAGCAGTCCCAACAACCACTTAACCGGTTCAGCAGAAATTGAAAATACTATTAAGGCAACCGCAGCTAATGCAACAATTGCTGCCACAACACCGACAGTTACACCAACAACTAAAAGGGAAACACCAACTTCAACAACAGCAAAGGCTAAACCAATGGCTACACCAACCACACCAATAGCTACACCAATCACACCAAAACCTGCAGCTACACCGACAACTCCCAATGGAGCAGCAATAACTTCATCAACATCGACAACAACTACACCAACAACTACACCAACAACTACACCAACAACTACACCAACAACTACACCAACAACTACACCAACAGCTAGAAGCGAGACATTAAAGCCAGACGCAGTTGCAGCAAATGAAGGGGCTCTAAAGTCAGCCGGAAAAGATGCTAAAAAGAATTTAGAAGATAGAAGTGAGAAGAATGGGGCAGAGGAAGGTGCAGGGCCAGAGGCAGAGACCGAGTCAGAGTCAGAGGCAGCCACAACAAGACACAACTTCCTGGAGGAGGAAACCGAGGCGCCATTCAAGCCCAATCGACGACGCTCACTGACAAAGCCGGAAACTGTTAGCTATTTCAAGAAGATCCTGGGATAGAGCAGTGGCAGAGAATCAGAGAGTCAGTGGCAGAGAGTCAGTGGCAGTGGCAGAGGCAGAGAGTCAGCCGCAGCATCAGCAGCAGCAGCAGTAGCAGTAGCAGTAGCACTCCCCAGTAACCGTAATCGAAGCCTTAACAGTAACTGTTAACACCCATTTCCGGCACACACACACACAAGCACACACAGACAGACAAATAACTGCTCCCCAAGCACCATTGATACCGTTAGCAAAGTTACCCCCTCCTAACCCCACCCCTGCCGACAACGAAGCAACTTTAACCAAAGAAACCGACGAACTTTTGCACGTAATTGGTCTTCAAAATCATAGAAAGAGATGGAGCCGGAGCAAAAGAAAAGGGAGTGCATGAGAGAGAGAGAGAGAGCGAGCGAGAGAGCGAGAGAGAGAGCTAGCTTAAGTTCCGGGTGCCAGTAAATTGAATCAGTTGGCAGGACCCCCCCCACTCCCCTATTCGATTCGATCCGATCCAAGCAATTGCATTCCAAGCCAGTTGGTCCCTCTCTGACTCACCACATCCACATCCACATTCACATCCACATCATCATCATCCATATCCACATTCTGGCCAAAGTTTGTCTCGAGCCCTTTCCTCCTCCGCCACCCCTTTTATGTTCTGTCTTAGCCAGAAAATGCCGGAAATCCAAGCTGTTAGTCAACGCCAAGCGGAAACGCAAAGCAGCCAAAAGAAAACTCAGCTCTCAGACTTCTCTTCTCTTCAGGTTCGGTTCGGTTCGGTTCGGTTGGGGGTTGCTGGCAGTCAACGACGATTCCAGTTGGCAGCAATATATCAAATATGTCAATTTTTCACCGGAAGAAGCACCACAAAAAAATAATAAAAAAATAAATAAAAAATAAACACGCACACAAGCAAACAAACAAACAGCCACACACACACTGTGAGAGACACACACAGAAAAAAGAGATAGCTATAGAAATGCCATGATAAAAGGAATAAAAGAAACAGAGGAAAAAGTGCTAGAAATGGCAGCGCCACAGGAGACGCTGAGGCTGAGGCTGAGGCAGCTGCAAGCGATGCAAGAGAGAGGAGCTGGCTGGAAAGAGATGGCAAGGCAAGCTGGCGAGTTAGAAAGAGTTAGTGTGCAAAGCAATGGCCAAATCATAAGTACGATAAATACAAATACAAAAAATAAAATATGCAAACAAACAAACAAACAAACAAAAAATGCAGAAGAAAGCAAAAAAAAACAAAACCAAAAACCAAACCATAAATGTGTGTTTACAAACAGTATACAAAAGGGTTCTGTTTCTGTTGGATTTCGGTGTACTTAGTGGGAGAGGACAGGGAGAGCACACGAGCAGCAGGAGAGGGCAGGCGTGGTCAGAGTGCGGGTGATGTAATTACCAGTTGAAGAGGCTGCCTCTGCCGGACAGATCGCCACACGATTTGTGTGTGTGTGTGAAGGGAGTGTAGAGAGCACTCCGCTGCAACTTTTCACTTTTTCACATTTTCCATTGGCTTTAACACTCGCTCCTGCTGGTTTCCCTGCTTGCATTTTGGGTGCACTTTTACTTTTGCGACTTAATCTCGCATTCGATTGAATGTTTCCCTCTCCGCTACTTAAGTAAATTTTAATTTCCAAGAAAAAACTTTCCTTTAGTTCCCGCGACACTTGAAGCAAAGTTTTGCCGCCGAGCATTGCATTCCAATCCCTGGCCCAAGCCCAAGCCAAGTACACCGAAATCCAAAACAGAAGCCGCTAACCAAATTACATATTTAACTATAAATTATAAAAATATGACATAGATCACATTTTTTTTTTTCGTGCGTGGAAATAGTCAAATACAATTTGTGTAAGTGAAGGCCAAAAGCGTTTCGTCATTTTGGGTATTTTGAGGAAATTACTTCGCAAATTAATGAAATGATGAAAGCAAAGACGAAGCAGAGCAAGGCACACCTAAGATTAAGCTAAAGTTTAACAAAAAAGAACACAAAACCAAAAGGGAAAAAATAAAACCCAAAAAGTGGTGGAGAAGGGGGCAGGGCGCTGAGTCCACCCCACCAACCCCACACCCTCCAATGAGGAGGCAAAAATAACGAAAACCAAAACGCACTTGATGTAGAGAAATATTTGTAGGTACTTAAGATCCCCCCCCCCCCCCCCCCCGCCTTCCGGCCCGCGCGGCGGGGAAACCCAGGCAGCCGCCCCCAAGAACCCCCCCCCTGGGGCTGGCCCGCCCCCGGCTGGGGGGGGGCTTTAAGCCGCCGTCCCCCCCCCCCCTCCACTTTTTGTTGTTTTTTTTGATCGTTTTGTATTACATTTTTCCTTTGTTCCTTGTTTTTGCTGTTTCGCTGGTTCGGTTGGGGTGAGTGTGCGGGGGGGACCGCGTGAAAAGCGGCTCGAGGCCACTTGAGGGGGCCCACTCCACGCCAGTCCCAGTCCAGCTCAGCCCCAGTGGCCCCTCAGCGATGTGCCGAGTTCTGCCACTTCTTGGATACCCTTTCCCTAACCCCTACGCCTACCCCTCCCCTTAACAGTTTGTCGACAGATTGCTGAATATTTAGATATTTTATAAGCCCATAAAATCGATCTTTAGATACATATTTCGATTACTGATTGATAGTAGGATGATAATTTGTAGCTTTGATGGTTCTGAGTGCTCAGCTTTGCCCAGCAGCATCTGGCATCGGTTATGCCTAGAATCTATCTCCTTCCCCCCTACTCAAGGCCTACCCACTCATCAAAGTAAGTGGATTGCTGTGGAGGCCGCCTCCCGCCAGTTGGCCGGCCCCAAGTCCGTAATTCGCTCAGTTAGACACCGTGAATATTCCGGGAATTCAACTTGAGGATTCCAGTGCCCTGGTTCTGGTTTTGGGTTGCGGCCAATGGTCATGGCTGGGGCGGCATCCATCGGCTGCGGCAGGCACCCAACGAAGCCTTCGTTTTGGGTTTTTGTGCTGCTTTTTATACATTTTCGCATTTCTTAGCTTGTACTCGATGAGTATGCTGGGGCATGCTACTTTTTTTCAAAAAGTATTTAACGAAACCAAAAAAAAACGGCGGAAGAAATTAAATTTGTTGAGATTCCATTTTTGAAGGCTTTATTATTTCTGGCTAAAGCTAAAGCTAAAGCTGTGCCATTAAATTAATTTAATTGACTGCTCTGACCGATTCCAGCTTAATTTTTATCTTTATTCGGATTTTGTGTACTCGTTTTAATTATGTTGGTTGAATCCTGAGCAGCGGGTATTTTCCGTTCGTATTATTGTCTGAATCTTTCCTACTGCATTGATTTTTTTTCTTCTATATTTTGCTTTTTCTCGTGTGTGTGCAGGGCAGGACTGAGCCCCATTTCGGGTATGCTCATCTGCGCTGGGATGCGCTCATTCGACCGTTTAAAGTGCACCATTTTCCGTTTTCCACCGCCCCGCCCCGCCCCGCCCCGCCCCGTCTAATCATTTTAGGGTACGGTTGAGCGGGTTAACGTTTTGAGTCAGCGCTAAGGGTTTCGAGAGTGGTGTGCCCTCTCGGTGGACCCGGTACTGGCATTGGTGCTCGGCGCAATTTATTACGCATGCTGCAGGCGCTTTGCTTTTATTTCATTTCAGTCGATGACGCCGCCGCCTTTTACTGCCAACTGGAGGAGCAAATTAAGTGCAGCCGTCGCGGCGCAGACAGCAACCAAAGGGGATACACAGACACACACACACACAACGACACACACATGACAGCCATTAGGCTTAAAATTAAATTTTTTATTGGAACGCACACACATGTATGAGGAGGGTGGGGGTGGGGGGTTACAGTGCCATAAAAGGCTCCTGCCGGCAGGATATCCCCAAAAGGAAGAAGCTGCAAAATTTCAAATTTAAATCAATTGCGGTTGCTCATTGACGCCACGAAGGTTTTATTTCCTGCTTCAAGCCGAGACTCAAAGTTAATTGAATTTTCCAAACAGACAACCCACACGTACAAGTGTACACTTGTATGTATGTATGTATATTTGCACCTTCATGCATTTATGTGCCCGTGTGTGGGTGTGTAGTTAAATCCGCCCTTACATGGGGGTTACATTAAATATGCATGTGTGCCACAGGAGCGAGGCGGGCTCGATGGTGACTTCCGTGCTCGAGGCGGTGCTGACACCACACACACACACACACAGCGCCACACACAACGCCACTCACTAGCAAGGCCAGTGACCCTACCGTTCGTGCTTAAAAAAACTCCAACAACGTCAAGGGACCAACGATGGAACAGGAAATTTGATTTCCACATGACTAAACACAATATGCATCCATCCATGTGCCTAGAAATTAAATCTCATTTTCTAATGAGATATAATTGGCATTGATAGCTGAACACACACATTTTTGATTAGCATCGAAGTGGATGATTGAGAATTTCCAGCTAACAGCAGAGTTGGGGTCGTATCAAATCTGATTTGCCCATGATCTGCATCGTCTTCTCTCATTATCACTATTCATAAGCACCCCTCGTTCGAATAGTCGTAGTCGATAGCATTCTACGAGTATAACATGTGAGATAAGAAAACGATCTAACAGGGCAACAGCCTGTTACCGCTCTCCGCTAACATTCTGTGGCCGCTCCCGTGAACAGCTCTCTGTTAACGCTCTCTGACAGCGCTCTGTTAGCTCGCTCTCACGATCCACACCTGGAACCTGACTGACACCCGCGGTTAACGACCTGCCCCCCTCCCACAACAGATTCCTTTCCGTTTAGTTAATCACTTCCAAATCGACTGCACGCAAGTACTAAGGGCACAAGCACCGCACGGACTTGTTACACAAGCGCCAGTCCCAATTCACACAAGTGTAGAGTAGATTCCCTGACTGCGCTGCCTCGGGTGTCTGATAAACTGTCGCTGTTTCTAGTTCTGTCTGTCCCATGCCCTGTGCCCATGTCTGTGCGTGTGTTTGCCTGTGAGGATACGAGTATTTTGGTGCTGGCGACAGCAATGGCGACCGGCTGCGAAACCAATTTAACGACGCCATATCCGCTAGCCAATGCGAAGCATCAAACATGCAACAACTGCAGAATCTTTGCGGCGACATTGACATCATTGATGCTGCAGCTTCTCCGTCTTCATGTTACCTCTCGTGAAGTACCAGATATACCCTAGGAACCGAGCACTATGCCATGCACAGAGATGATAGCCCCAGCACTAGCACCAAACAGATTTCAAGTGTTATCCAGCCCATTCTGTACAGTGTAAGACACAACTGTATCTTATCATAGAGCAGAACAAAAGTATCACAAGTCGTAGTTAAATATGATTATAATCCAGTCAAAGATCACTCATTATTTTCTGCATAGTATGGATTATTTCATGTCCCTCAAAAGAGGGAAGAGAGATCAGTTTCCTCTTGTGGCGAGAGTTTGTTTGTTTATTTTGTGTTGCATTATTCTGTGCTTGATTTCTCAGCAATGGTTCGCTATCCACATCCACATCCGCATCCGAGTCCATTTCCGTTTTCTGTTGCGGCCAGATGCAATGCGCATTTATTACGCGTGCTAACTTGGCCGCAATCGTTTAAGCCACCAGCTTCTGGCTGGGCCACAAGCAAGCCAGGAAAGCCAGGAAGGCCTTGCCCGAAATTGCTGAAAAGAACATTGTCAGGGACTGCTAGGAGGGGTGCTTGGCGTAGAGGGACATAACAAAGGGGCACAGCCATCTGCTGGCATTCAGTTGAATCCTGTCTCAATGCTGACGAGCAGAAGGATCTACGGAAATGGTGTGAGAGTGGCAAACCAGAGCTCAAATGAATTATATTAAGCATGAAAATTTGAATAATAACAGAAATGGTGACAGGCAAAAAGAATTGATTAAAAAGGAAGGCAGAGCAGTGCCGTGCCGTATTTGTAATGAAAAAGGATGGCGGCGGACTGCA